CACAGAGAATACCTGAGCGCCCATACCGCTCAGAATGACAGCCTGTTCCGTGGTCTTTCATCCAAATTTCTCGGCTTGCTGAATTTGTCATGAGTACATATGAAACGATGGGCAGACAGCCGGCAGCGTCGCCGTCTGCTGCACACGCTCGGGTGCGTGGAGGATGGAGCAGCCGCGTTTGCAGAGAGTGCAAACAAGCAACCTTTCGCATCTTAATTGCACCATTTCAAAGACTTCGTTACTGAAATGTGAAAGCATCGTAAAAAGACTGTTTAAAATGATTTTTCAAAATGTATGTATATATATATATGTGTGTGTGTGTGTGTGTGTGTGTGTGTGTGTGCGTGCATATATATATATCTCAAAAATGTGTGTGTGTGTGTGTAGATTATGTTTATATTACATTGCGGGGACCAAATGTTATGGGGAAATGCAATCAAATTAGTAGAAATGCCAAAAATGAATGGAGAGTCCCCACAAAGATATAATTACAAAACTGTGTGTGTGTATGTGTGTCAACCACTGGTCAGATGTCTAGTTTAGACCTTATTTTAGGGCTGATCAGGAGACATTTCATGGATTTAACATATAGTACTTTTAACAATAACCAATTTTAGTGTTTTAGAAATGAAGTAAATGAGGGATGACTCCAGTCAATATAAAAAGTCGGAAAGCCATTTAGCAATGCCAACTGTTAGCGTTTGTTAGCAATGTCAATCGATAACAGCTCATTACGTGGTATTTTGCACATACAAACACCATCACAACATGGCTACAGATGGTTGGACAGTTCTTTGTGTACAACCGATTTAATGAGCCACAATTAAGACATAAGTGTTAATAAACAGTATATAACTACAGCCTTCACTTCTGTTGACGAAGGGTGCAGCCATCTTGAATTCTGAGGTTGGAATTGCAGAGGTTCCTGAGACTTTCCAAGTCGGAATTTTGATTTCAGGGGGCGTTCCAATTGAAACTTGCGACTAGGAAGTTGGAAATTCCGACTTCCAAGTTAAAATGTAACTCAGAATTATGCTCGTTGCAGCAGTTGCTAGTCTGTGTGCCAAGTGATTCCTGACATTAGCTGAACAAGCTGCTCGGGCTTTGGCCTCCTGGCTACCCACCATCACCCCGGTCTGATTGGTCGGTCGGAAACCCGTCTTTCTGATTGGTCGGTCGGAAACCCGTCTTTCTGATTGGTCGGTCGGAAACCCGTCTTTCTCAGCATCCTGTCAGCCATCCAGAGGCCAGAGATGGCATGTTCTACTTTCACCATATCGCTGCTTGAAAACCATTATGACTACAAAGCAGGAGCTCCGGCTGTAAGCTACTAGAAATAATTGCACCTCTTACATCTCGCAGACAAACAGACCACCACTTTCTTTCTTAATGAGGAATTTAAAAACCAGGGAAATATCCAGTAAAACAATTTTCTAAAAATAATTAGTAGTTGCCTTATTCTCCCAGGGCTAGTACCCCCACCCAAGCATCCTGCTGCATTGGTGCTTCATGCATGCGCATGCTCTGCGATGGGTTGGTATCTCCACCTGGGAGTCCTCCTGTGTTGATGCCCCATGCATGATACTGCACTGTGATGGGCTGGTACCCACACAGGCGTCCTGCTGCATTGGTGTCGCATGTATGCGCATGCGCTGCAATGGGCTGATATCCCCATCCAGGCATCTTGCTGCCTTGGTGACCCATGCATGCATGCTGGGAAAGGCCACAGGCTCTCTGAAAACCTGTACTGGATTATGGCTGGAAAAGCAAACTTTCTGGTGAAATCTATGCCAGACTGCGTGAGGCGTAGATCGTCGGAGAAAACGGGGGCATAGGTGGAGGCAAATAAAACAAATGGGGGTTTGACTTGCAGAGATGTTAAAAACTCAGCATGGTCAAACACAAGAAGGATACAGTCAGGGCCTGAGGCTCAGTGACAAGTGGGAGATAAAAAATGAATTAAAAGTAGTGAAAGAAGAGGACATGTGCTCACAGCAAAGAAACCTGAACAGCAGTGGGTCTCACGCTGTGCTTTGAAGGTGTCCTCTCCACTTTTCAGAAACCTGAAAGATACAGCCTCTGATATTTAACTTTGGTTACCAAGAATGCATTTCTGGATAAAAGACTCAAAACAGGTTCACGTTTAAATACCACACTGAGCATTACAAAAGGCCAGGCTAGTTAGAGCTATCAGTATCATTTTAGGCCTGGTTAATAAAGACCTACCATCATTCGGCAGCATTTAATCATCCTGTGACTTGTGGAGCAGATGCAGACTGAACATGGTTCAGTTCAGCTCGGACACACAATGTATTAGAGTGAAAAAACACAGTATTTCTACATTCAATTACTTCTGAGCTGACTCAGGCTACTGTGATTCTACCACAGAAATGAGGTACTTATTAATGATGAATACACATCTTTTTTTAAACACAGCCTATGTACGTTTTTATTTGCTCACGTCCGGCATGTTTGTTTGTTTGAGTCCTGTACATTCTGCATTTACATATACCAGAACCCTGTGCTGAATTACTGGCTTGGAAGACGGACAGAGGGATGAAGGAATGGATGGATGGATATTATATGTTTTTATATATGTGACCTTAATTTTGCAACATATTAAAATGTGTGTGTGCAAAAGTGAAAAAATACTTTAGGCTAATAACAAAATGAAATTATACTTTGTCTTTGTCAAGTAAAATACCTCCCTTTTATACCTCCCTTTTAGCAAGCATGTCCACTCTTTTCTGTTTTCAGTAATGTTAGTGCCTGGGGGGGGGGTTGGGGGGGGTATGTGGGCGGCCAGGTGACCTTGGACCCCCAAAGGTTTTTTTTCTCCCTACTTGGGAGTTTTTGGTTCCTCTCCTCCGTTGTCTTCTGGCTTTCTTTATTCAATTTCTTTCCTTCCTTTTTCCCATTCTGTATCTCTCTGTAATTATGTTTTATGTATCACAACACAACCCTGTAAAGCACTTTGTTGTGAAAGGCGCTATATGAAAAACAAATGCATTGTATGTATTGTATTGTATTGTAAAATACACAGACTGTAGCTTAACACAAATACATAATGGAGTAAATGAATTCCTTTTATTAAGTGTAAAACTCCAGGTGGGCCTGATCTGACCGGCTACAGTTAACGAAATGTGACTTCAGCTATTTTCAGACCTGAATTCATAATGCTGTTTACCCAACAGTCCATAGATTTATAGAAGCCTATCATTAACTGCAAATTATTTCACCTAATGACCTAGATCACTGGATTTTTATCTCACAGTCCATTTGAGTGGTGCAGTAGGTCGCGTTCATTAGCCTGTGGCGTGCTCAGTGCAGTGGAGGCTTTCCCATCGCCTTCAAACGCAAAGCAATTACAAAAAACAGTGCAGCTTTTAGCGTCTCATTCATCCGGCCCGAACAAATGTGAGCTGCTTTATGACACCAAGCCAGCCACTTAAATAGCAAAGGCTTGACACAGGAAGATGATGGATGGCTAATTGAGTGGGCCCAGCCTACCATATGCGGAGCCGTGACCCAGAAGCCCCTGCTCAGCTACAAGTCCCCGCCCCCAGCATTCAGGGGAACAGCCACTAACCGTGGGAGGGCAGCCTTGGTCATTAAGACCACACAAAGCCGTACAGAAGCAGCTCGCTAACGTTAAACGGTTACCGTAAGGACGCTAAATACGCCTTTAAGGTTCGCAAGTTATACACAGAATCTGACATCGAGTGACACAATCGTAAAACTTCCATTCTGTGGTATCTGCTGCAGCCCTCAGCATGTAACGTCTCGCCGCTTAACATGTGAGTGTTTCATTGTGCAAAATGTTCCTCTTCCACCAGCACAATGAGAAGTGGAATATTTCAATTATAAATCATTCGATTCAAAAATATTTATATATATACTCAAGCACCAGGAAGAATGCACGCTAAAAATTGATGGAAACGTAAGATGTTTTTATAACCTTTGTTTTTAAGTGGACACATAGAAATAATAGTACAATGTCAGCATGCATTAAGGATCCATCTCTCAAATGTGAAAAATTGTTTGCTGACATTAATAGCAGTTTGCCTGCGGGAAGTTAGGCCCATGCAAAGATTGCTTAATGTATTTTAAAAGGGAAAGATAAAGGATAACTTTAGTTTGGCCTTTAATTGATTGAAACCATGTAGTGTGTGGTATATACTTATCAAAATACTAATGGATTGAAGTACAGGACTATTTTTCAGCGAATGCAGACAGTACATGCCACTGCAATTCTTCAACAGTTTTTACGTTTGTAATATATGACTTCTGCAGTCTGTAATTTCCACTATAGATGCATGGTGGTGTGTTTATTTCTATATTTTTAGCACGATATAAAAGACACAAACATTTGTAATTGCCTCTTCACAAAGCAGCAGATAATATGTGGGACAGCAGCGTTTGCTGCCCTGGATTGATTTATGGATTCCTCGTGAATTTATGACAAAGAATTATCAGCATTAGTTTGTTCCACCAGGAAGTTAACACCTCTCTCCCTCATCTTTTGGCAAATCCCGGTGTCTCTTGCACGAATTTCTACATGCGCTTCTGACTAGACGTTTGGCAGGGACAGTCACAGGAAGACATCGGCATGTATTAAGCGGGCGGAAAAACTCTTGGGGGGGGGGCGTCCCAGTGATGTCGCTTTGAATCGCAACCAGAGAGGAGCGAGAAACGCCTGAAGGCAGCGGCTCATCAATGAAAATGACCAAGCAATCGAGGACCTGTTCTTATGAATAATGCTGCTTTAAAGATTTGTGAATTATTGATTGAGTCATCTGGTTTAAAAAAAAATAAAAAATCTGTTGACTACGTTGTATAATTAGCGGTGTTGTTATAAACCCCAGAGGACCAGCCTCGCCTTCATTTGTGCCGTCACGCTGCCAGCATCGCACCTTTCCCTCCCAGCGGCGTGTGGATGCGTCTATTCAAAGCCCCACCCGCTGCAGAGGATGCAGACGCAGCCACCTGGTATCAGAAAAGAAACCTCAGTCTCTACGATTGCGACGACTGACGGTCAAAAGATCAGGTGGCCTCGCGAATCACTTCCTCAAATTCCCGGAAGCGGCATCCGCTGTCGGCACTCAGTCTCTCTCTATTAATTAGCTACGCAGACAAAATGCCGAAACAATCGTCATGTCTTACCGATCATGAAATATGGGCTTTGTCAAGGAATGTGGAAGTCTAGGTGGCGTAGGTACGTGTTTTTTTACGTCCGGTTGCTTTATACAGCAAAACCGTGCTGCGTCGGTAAAGCTGAAATATGACGTTTTAGCTTATGAGATGCACAAAGTAAAGGGAGATAAGAAGTAAATAGTGTGTTTGCAGTGCAAAAAAAGCACTAAGGATGAGAGACACTGTCATCCATCAGAAAAGCGTTACCTACTGCTTCGCACTGCAATGTCTAATATGATTATCCGGGGTTAGTTCACAGAGGGCCTTAATTGAATTGGCGAATCGAACTGGATAGGTTCTGCGTCGGCTGCATGCGCGTGGCAGTGCTATACGTCGCGTGGCGTGGTGCCGCCAGTTGGCTGTCGGGTTTGAGAGGGGAGGTTAGCGCAACGTTTAACTTGTGACCCCGACAACAGGGACGACAGTCACTTAATGAACCCTCCAGAGATACCTTCCGTTTTGGAGGTGCCCCCATCTGCTCTTCCTGATATCTGAATTAGGTCTTTTTTAGAGTAACCTCTGATGAAAGCTTGCTTCCAACCACCTTGCTTGTCATTGGTTACTGAAAGACAATAAGCCAATTAGATGGAACTGAACCAAAGGCAATTTCTCACAGCGCAGGAACGATTCAGGGGAGTTGAAGGGATTCTTTCGAGTCCGCCATGGCTTTCTTCTGCCTGTTTAATATTCCTGCCTTTGAATGCCGGAGCTGTCACAGACGTTCCTCGGAACAGCGACGGGGACTCAGATACAACACATGGCGCATTTGCTCTGTGGCGCTGGGCTTAATTTGCAGGCCGCATCCGTGACACGTCGCCCCATTCCGTAGCGCGACTGCAGGATATCCGGCAACAATGCCTTTATTTCTCCTGCACCGCGTGGTTCCCTGCCCCCCCTTCATTTCAGAAACTGATGCCCCCCCCCCAAGCCAG